TGCCCAGGTTGTCTGTCCCATTTTTCATCTGAGCTACACGGTTGAGTGTAGAGTAGCAGAGGCAGGAGAGAGCTTTTCTGGGAACTTGGGCATGGCAGGGGACTCTCCCTGGCTCAGATCTGTGATCTGCACAAGGGATCACTGTGGGCTCGGTCTGGGTGCCCTCTGGGCGCAGAGCTGAGGAGAGATGTGGGGAGGAGGATGCCTGGATGGAGAGGGCGTGGGATCCAGAGTAGCCATGTGGGACTTGGCGTGCAGTGGCCCAGAGAGCTGCCTAAAGTCAGAAGGGAAATGAGGGCGGCGGGGCAGAGCACCTCGCGCAGTGTTTGAGGTGACTCGGAGAGCCTGAGGAGGACAGGGCTGCATCCTGCCCACTTCACACCCCAGTGTTGGCCACAGTCCATGAAACACCATGCTCTGACCCGTCATGGGTGTTCCTGGAAAGGGGCTTCCCTGGTCAGATAACTTTGGGAAACCTCTGGTCAGATGGATTGCTCTTTTGTTGGTTTTGTTAACTCTTTTACCTTTTGTAGAGATGAGATCTCACTGTATCACCTATGCTGGTCTGGAATCCCTGGGCTCAAGCAGTCCTCCTGCCTCGGCCGCCCAAAGTGCTGGGATTACAAGCGTGAGCCACTACACCTGACGGTTTTCTGAATTCTTAATACACTGATGTGTCAAGCCAGACTCCAAGAGAGTTCGATTAGGGAGCAAACTAGTTTAATCAGGGAGCATTTTTACAGGACCAAAGAGAGAGAAAGAACACTTGGTAGACAGAATCTAGGTCGAATAATCTGCATTTGATTCTTATTTTAATAGTGGAGGTCTTCATGGTGGCCTGGGTCTCTAGAAATCTCCACGGCGGTTTCTTCCTGACCTGTGAGGGCAAAGCTGGGTGAGGAATTAAAGCAGCTTATATAGATGCCTTCCTGCTTCTGGCCCCCTGTCCATTCCCCACACTTGAGTTTGTGGTAGCAGAACATGCTGCTTGCTCTCTGACACAGCTTGAGGAGGGAAAGCTACAGGACACCATCCAGCCTCTGGTAGGCAGTGTGGGCAGTCCTGCCTGAGACCGGCCTGTGTGCGTTGACCTTTTGTGATATCAGCACCAATTTGCAATTGACAGACTTCTGGTCCTCCCATAGCTGAGTGGAAGTTCAGCGTGGGTGGCTTTGTGTTTGGGGTGAGAATGTGACCAAAGGCCTCTCTCCAGGTTCCCTCAGTCATGAACGCCAGCCCTGCCATCTGCAGGGGCCCAGCAGGCCCAGGTGGGCTGTGTCTTGTCGGTTCTGTTTCTCTGGAGATCCCTGACTGTGCCTCCCGGGTCCCAGTCTTTGTGGTGTGCGACATTTCATGGGCTCTGAAACTGCTGGTGGCCCACTGTTCTATGTGCAGCTCTGTGGCACTGAGGATACAGAGGTGGACACAACGGACGAGGCCCACTCTTGGGGCGCTCACATCCTAGGGGTGAGGCCTTCAGGAGCGCCAGGGCCACCACGTGCAGACACACCCCCTCCCTCCCTCCCATCAGATGTTTTCTGCTAAAGTCTTCCACCCTCAGCTCCCTGTTCTCCACTTTTCCTGTTGGGCCTTGCATAGAATAAGGGCTCAGTAAACATTGAGGTGATGCACAGCAACTGGTGTTATGTAAACAAGGAGAGGAAGTGTCCTCAAGCATTTGTTGGAAGGTGTTGGCATGGTGTGCCCTGGGGAACAGAGCTGATATGGATGGTGTGTCTGTGGTCTCAGCCTCCCTAGCAGGTGTACACCCTGTGGCAGGACATAAGCCAGAGGCATGTTGGGAGAAATGGGGCGGGTGTACAGTTCAGCCGGAGCTTCCAGAGAAGACGGTGTCAGGAAGAGCCCGTGACCACATGCTCTGACCAGAGGGACCAAGCCAAGGAGAAGTCCAGAAGTGCATCATAAGCATGGGCGTGCAGGGACGGCAGGCTCTTCAGTGCCACCACAGGGGTCAGGTGGGAAGTGGAGGCGCTCAGCCCTGGTCTGTGGGAAGACATTGCCGTTTTAAGCATGCATTTCACACCCACTTCTGGGTGCCCTGAGGAGGCCTGACTTCAGCAGGTAAAAGCAGAGGCAGCAAGAGAGAGGAGGTCTCTGCTGTGTTGGTGGCTATAGGAACAGGGGGCCTTAGAGGGGACCTGATTGGACTGTTGCCTGACTGTCCTGTTCTCTGGATGGCTACTTTCAGAACTTGGCACCCACTTCCTCTTCTGCAGCTTCCCTCTCTCTTCCCCAGAGCACCATGCCCGGTGCAGTGCAGACCTGTTCTGGGCAGATGTGGTAGCCCCAGCCTCCCGTGGCTGCCCAGGAGCCGCAGTCCCTGCTGTGCACCTACAGAGCAGCCGAGGGTCCTCCCCACGGGGACACAGTCCTCCTCACCAGAATAGGGTCCTCCCCACCAGGACGCTCCGTTCCAGCACCTGCAGCAGCCTGGCATTCATCTTCTCCAATGCCTCCTTACTCACCCCTCATTAAATAGTTGCCGAATCCCTACGGCGTGCCAAGCACTGTTCTCAGACCCTGGGGTGCCGAGCAGAACACAGCACAGCCCCGCTCTCAGGGAGTTTCTGTCTTAGTCAGGAAGATGGACCTGAACCCATAAATGCATAATGGATCAGGCAGTGGAACTTACTGTGGAGGAAAAGAAAGCATTTAGTCCCACGTGGAGGTTGGTCCAAGGCATCTTTACTGAGTGTGGAGTATGTTTAATTAAGTCTGCAGTGGCTAGACCGCGCCCTCTCAGGCTGGAGTCTGTTAGTGACCTGAAATCTAACTCAAACTGGCATTAAGCAGAAGTCAGCAGTGAACAGCCTAACTGCAGAGTCTGGGGGCATTAGCTTGGGCCAAGCTCGACTCCAGCCCCACCAGGTCACCAGGATTCAGTCTTCCCCTCCATCTCCAGGTCTGCTTCCGTCTGAGCTGGCTCTCGTACAGGGCCCTCGTGGTGACACGCGGCTGCTGGCAGCCCCAGGGTCATGTGTCACCAGCTCAGCAGCCTCAGCAGAAAGAGAGCACCTCCTCCCCAGGGGCTCTAAAAGAAGCCCTGGCCTTGTTCACATGCCGTGTGTCCCCAGGGCAGGACATGCGGGGCTCTCCTTGTCGGTCCTGGCGCCAGGGCTGATGTTGGCTCCACCTGAACCATGGGGGGAGCGGGAGAGGGGTGGTTCCCCAAAGAACAACGGGGCTGGAGGGCCACTGAGCTGGCCGAAACCTGGCTCCCGGCTCCCTGGAGCCTGTCAGCTAGCAAGGAGTTGAATGCAGAAGTGGGGGCTGAGCTTGTGGGGTGCAGGATCAGCACCGGAAGGTCTAGGACTCCCGGTAGTAGACTTGTGGACAAGCTGCCACTCTGTCTCCAGAGCCCTCCCCTGGCATACTTTACTGCCTGGCATAGGCATGTTATTTCGAGTTTGCTGAGCTGCCATTGTGCTCTGTGCCCAGGAGATTGCTGCTTAGGGAAGCATGGAAGCCTGACTGGAGCCCACCTGCTCCTTGTAACCCTTGGGTCTTGTGTTTGTAGTTCACCCCCATATTCACTGTGGCTGTGCATGGTGCGCCAGACCTGGGTGCGGTGAGGCTCTGGGGAACGTGGTGGAGGGACTGTCCCCAACAGCTGTGGTGTGCTGCCCAAGGTCAAGACTAGCATCTGCCCTGGTTCTGCAGGAATGGGGGCTTGGTTGATTTTGTGCTGTCTCCTCCCCACCTTCAGCCACTGATCTCATAGCCAGCCTTACTCCCTCTCTTTCACCCTAAACTGACGCCAGGCGTCCCCATGCCTTTCACAGCATTTCCCCAGACCCTTAGCATGGTCACTATTTATCCCCAAAGCTGTGCCTTGGACTGCCAGTCTCCCAGCCCTTCTCCTGAGTCCCCGACATTGCCCCCTCTTTTCGGGGACTCGTCCCATCTCTAGAGCAGACCGGGCCACCACCCAGGCGGAGGGCCCTTGTAGCCACGCTGTGCCAGTGTGCAGTTCCTGACTGCCATCGGGCTCCCCGCAACCAGGGGCCCCTTGAGAGCAGGCTGTGCCAAACTCTGCTCACCACAGAGGCCCCAGTGCACGGCCTGCAGCGGGTCTCTCCAGATCCACAGCTCCTGCTTGGCCCCCACGCCGGCCCTCAGACTTTGAAGGGGGAGGGAGTCTGGGTTCGTCAGCGTGCATCCCTGCCCCGGGCCCAAGAGGCAGGTGTGGGTTGGACCTCCCCGTGGAGTTGAAGTGGTCCCAGCCGCGTGTCCTGTGATGGGCCGCGGGTCTTCCTGAGCAGCCCTGTGCCAAAGGGCTGTTGACTTGGCTGACCTACCCCCCAGGAGGCGAATGGTATCTAGTGGGAACCACGGGCTGCATTGCTCTTGTGCTGTCGGGTGACAGGACACCCCAAAGTGTTTCTTCTTCAACAGCAGCTGTCAAGATGGACTTAGGCTTTCAGCAGCCCCCAAGCACGTGTCCTAACAGTAATTGCTTGGACATCCAGCTTGGACGCTGGGCTGGCTCTGCCAGGCTAGCTCTCCAGAGCAGGAGTGCCCGGCCTGGGCTTGCAGGCAGGTTGCCCTCTGGCCTGCAAATTAAAGAAGTACAACTAAGCGAGTCTCCAACGTTAGAAATTCAGTAACATAAAAAGTCAGCATCTGCGCTGCTTCCTGTCAGGCCATGGTTGATGGTACTGCATGGCGGCTGCCACGTGCCCCGCCCTGTGCCGTTGTCACTCACATGTCAGCTCCCAGGGAGTCTGCCGGTTCCTTGCTGAGTATGTCATATGCATACAGAAGAGGGTGCAGGTCATGCCATCAGCATGGGATTTTCACAAGGTGAACACACCGACGCCTCCAGGGATCCATGTCTGAGAAGCTGTTCTAGCATTTCAATGTTCTTTGGAGTTACTAGCTCGATGTGTATGTATTTGAACTTATTGCAAATGAATGTAGCATTGTTTACTGTATGAATATAGTGTTGGGGGGAAAAAAACCAATTTTTCTTTTTGCAGAAAAACCTGCCATTGCTCCACCCGTCTTTGTGTTTCAGAAGGATAAAGGACAAAAGGTAAGGGGCCGGTACGTTCTCTCTCCCATCGTTCCTCTAACTGTTCTCTCTCAGAGAATCATCTCGCCAGGTCTTCCGCCTTCATGTGCATGAGCTTGGGGAGGCCACCTGGTGACTTCTGTGGTTGTGGAGAGAGGTTAGGGCGGGTCTCGTGTGCACAGGGTGCAGAGAACGCAGCTGTGCAGACAGCATCAGAAGGCATCTTCCTAGTTCCTGGTGATTCGTTTTAGAAATGCCACTGGACCTGAGGAGAACCAGCAGAAGGGGAACAGGGTGGGAGGAAAAATGTGGGAGGGAGGAGGGAAGGAGGGAGAGGGGAGAGGAAGGGAGGAGGTAGGCGAGGGTGGTGAAGGGGGAAAACGGGACCTTGACAGACTTTAGGGGGATTTCTTGCCCTAACCAACTTGGCATAGATGGTTTTAGAATAGTTGCTAGTTTGCTTACTGTATATTTATCGTCCATCTCCGTGAGGTTGCTTCCCCCCTTGGAATTGGGGTGTCTCGTTACGCTGTTGTTGGAAGCGCCTTGCTTGAGCCCAGTGATAAGCCAGCAGCCTGTCAAAGATCTGACTGGTGTGGCAGTAGGGGTCTGTGATAAGACAAAGATAGATGCCGGTGGTTTCTTTCGCTCCCTGACATATTGGTGTGGAAGGTCAGAGTCGTGTCAGAAGTGAGTTGGTACTGTGTGCTGGTGGCTCCCAGCTTCTGTGAGTCTCCCTCTGTTCATCTACAAGTTGTATGGTCTCTCCCCACTGATGCCCCGTGACGGCAGTTGTCATTTTAGTGCCCACTGCAACATTTTATAGCCACAAAGTACTGCGCTGGGTTCGGGAGCCTGAAGCACGTTTGCATGTTGTTGATAACAGCGTTCACAAATCTCGGCAACTCCATGCTCCTGTGGGTCCCATCCTCTTGCCATGACCAGCTCCTGCGTCAGGAGCTGCTCTTCTGGTGACTTGGGACCCATGGCTGCTGGTCTGAGATCCTGTCCCTTGGTCTGAGAAGAGGACCCAAAGATTCTCTTGGTGTAGCCCAGTTTTTCTGGGCAATGTTCAAGTGCTCTAGGGGGTGGAGGAGTGTGTGTGTGTGTGTGTCTGTGTCTGTATGTCCATCCGTCCACAAGTGTGTGAGCACACAGGTGTGTCAGGGTAGGAGGGGGAAGTGGCTGTCTTAAACCCCCCTCGTATACCCAAGGGTACCTCTGTGTTACCCAGAACTTTCCCACTATTAATTCTTCTGATGAAGGAAGAATCAGGAAACCCATGAAAACTTTCTTCCACTTTTGTTTTGGTTATCCAGTGGTATTTTCAGGCAGCATCCTACCTCTGCTGCCTCCTCTCCCTTGGAGCCTGACCAGTACCGCTTCATGACATATGTTTTTGCTATTTGTCCTTTGGAGTTTCAGTCAATATGATGGAACTGATGAATTTCTTCTAGTTTTAGAGACAGAATATTAAAATCTCAGGAGGTGGCTACGTTTGAGATGTTACGGCCATTTCTTTCAAGTATGCAAATTTTTCTAGAATTTTGAATTATCTTTTGAACCGCTTTTAGTTTAAAACAGGACTCAACAAATGACACCTGGTTTTGTTGTTGTTATTTTAATTTTTATTATTTTTAGAGACAGGGTCTTCCTTTGTCGCCCACACTGCAGCACAATGGCATGTTCTTAGTTCACTGCAGCCTCAAACTCCTGGGCTCATGTGATCCTCCTGTCTCAGCCTCCCAAGTAGCCAGGATTACAGGCATGCACTTCTAAAAACAGAGCGATACCATGCCTTTTCCATAGTCTGTGGATGCTACTTCATCTGGGCAATGTTCAAGTGCTCTAGGGGGTGGGGGAGTGTGTGTATGTGTGTGTGTGTGTGTGTGTGTGTGTCTACAGAGTTTAGACAGAGACCACATAGCCTGTAGAGCTGAAGGTATTCAGTATCTAAGTCTTTACAGAAAACAATTTGCCCTGATTTTAAAACACACAATAGGAATTAATCATTCTTTAAACCTTGAGGCCTTAGGATAACCAGCAAGATGAAATACTAACATGTAATGTTTGTTCAGCTGAATTTAAAATGCCTATAAAATCACTAGCTCTTGATTTAGTACTGCATCGAAGCTAAAAAGTTTCTGTGACTTGAAGGCTAATTTACATGTATGACCTTCAAGGGGTTTATGCAAATTATGGAGTTGAACCTGAACCAGAAGACTGGATAGGAGGGTTTCCGTGTTTGGGCAGCGAGACCTCATCTCTACAATAAATCAAAAAATCAGCCGGGCGTGGTAGCGCATGCCTGTAATTCCGGCTACTTGGAAGGCTGAGGTGGAAGGATCGCGGGAGCCCAGCAGGTCGAGGCTGCGGTGGCCGGGGGCGGCCACTGCACTCCAATCTGGGCGACAGAGTGAGACTCCAACTCAAAAAAAAAAAGAAATGCACAAGTATAGTTTCTATCAAAATATTAGCCAGTTCCAAACGGACTTCTAAAAATAACTGCTCTCCAGCTCTTGGGCATTCAGCTCCCACTTCTGTCACACTTCCGTGGCGCGATCACCCAGAGGGCACATGGAAACCTCTGTGTTAAGGCAGAAGCGTGAGAAGCCTTGTTAGGATGTTTTCTTAGCCATCAGAGGACAGTGTCCAAACGGTAGTGAAAGCTTTCTTTCTGCTGCTTATGACCACGCCAAAGGGAGGTGGACTGTAAACACAGGGCACACATCGGACTTCGCTTCTCCTGGGCTTCCTGGTTGGAGGGAGATGGGAAGGCCTGTGAGGAGTAGTCGCCGTGGGAGCCACCTGGTGTCATCCTCTCTTGCAGAGATCATCACTGCCCGCCTCCTCCAGAAGCCAGGCTAAGAAAGAACTGTTTGGCTGTTGTTTTTTCTGAGCAGATTTTTTTCTTGCTTTTTTGCTCCAGCTTTTTATGTTTAAAAATTTCAGGCCAGGCTCGGTGGCTCAGCCTGTAATCCCAGCACTTTGGGAGGCCGAGGCGAGTGGATTGCCTGAGCCCACAGGTTCGAGACCCACCTGGGCAACTTGGCGAGACCTCATCTCTACAATAAATCAAAAATTAGCTGGGCGTGGTAGCATATGCCTATAGTTCCGGCTACTTGGAAGGCTGAGGCAGAAGGATCACCTGAGCCCAGCAGGTCAATGGTAGGTAGGGTAGCCGTGAGTGTGACACTGCACCCCAGCCTGGGCGATGGAGTGAGACTCCAACTCAAAAAAAAATTTTTTTTCAGCTTTATTTTGAAAATTTTGAAATCCTCCAAAAAGAATGACATTGCCCAGGTTTTATTTATTTTGTGTATGTGTGTGTGTATGTATGGCGAGAGCGAGTTTTAAATTGTCCTAATGGTTCCTCAAATGTTCCTTGTAGTGATTTTTTTTTAACAACCTCTTGAACCCCGAAGATCAGGAAGTCCTGTTATCAACTGTGGGACTGACAAGCTTTTCTTTCTTTTCTTTTCTTTTCTTTTCGTTTCTTTCTTTCTTTTCTTTCTTTTCTTTCTTTCTTGACAGGGTCTCACTCTGTGGCCCAGGCTGGAGTGCAGTGGCACAATCATAGCTCACTGCAGCCTTGAACTCCTGGGCGCAAGTGATTCTCCCTCCAGCCTCCCAAGTAGCTGGGACTACAGGTGTGTGCCACCACGCCCCCGTAACTTACCCTTCAGCAATCAATCTCAAACCACCCGATGGGGTGTACATAAAAAAGCCTTTGCCCCCCTTCAAAAGAGAGGGCTCCAGGTGTTATCACTGAATCGTAATTGAGATAAAGGCTTTGGAATTGAAAAGAAAGAAATTAAACTGCCAACCCAGGAGTTTCTGTTTTTGTTCAGCGACAAAGCCATACAGCATTTTTCTGTGGGTCCCACCGATGTGCCATATGGCATTTGCAGCAGTGCAGATTGGTGAGAGTGGCCTGTGGGAGCGGGTAGCTGGTGGCATCGCTTCGCCTTAGAGTAAGTTGCCAGATCCTCCTGCCATTCCTGTTAAAGAAGGTGATGGGTGGTTTCAACTCTAGTCCTAACACCTAAAATGAACTCATGGCTGGATTGACAACACAGAGTTCCATGAACTTCTTTCCCTGGGCATATGCTTCCTGGGGATGGCTCTCTTCAAGAAATGCTTGCGTTTCCTTGCGTCTGTGTTTTGGCCATACAAAGGGAACCTTTTTTCCTTGGCTGCCTTGAATGGAGACAGAGTTCTTTCTCTTCCTTTTCAGTGTAAAGAGATTTAAACTTTCCTTATGCAGATTGTTTCATTATGTGTAATGACTAAATAAATGTTTCTTTCAGTTACTCTCTTTTGGGAGCATTTGTTAACCTGAAGGGGGCTTTGAAGTCACTGGCAGGGTAATGCCCAATCAGCAAAAAGACAGAAGAAAGGCAGTTACAGAAATGCCGCTTGCAGAAAATACAGTGGAACTGAAAATACCACTTGTATTAGAGCTCATTTCACGACTTCTCTTGGTGTGACACGCTTACCCCCGGTGCTGGTGTTTTTAGGATGATGTCAAAGGCTGCCAGTCTTGCTATGTCTGATTTCATCTTCATGTTGAAAAACCACAGGCCTTATCTTGGCTTTTTAGAGCCTGCTTTTGTTGCTCAGGAAAAATGCTGGGATCCAGGTAGAAGACGATGCTGGAATGACATCTGTTAATCCTCCCAAGAAACTTTCTAAATCTCAGTGAGAAAGTGATGTCACACATCTCAGCTCATTGTAGTGGAAGATGAAGAATTTGACCCTGTTTTGGCTTCTGATTTTCACTTTCAGGAATTTCCTCTTGGTCCTCCTGTTTACCATTTTAAGTAACCAGGAGAGCATTTGAGCATTTATGTTCCAAAAGAAGGAGTAAAAAAAAAAATCAAGTGGTTCTAATTAGATTGAGGCGACTTCTGCAGAGTTCTGGGTTTGATTTTTCTCTGGTGAGTTGTTAAGTCTCTAGCCACAAGTAGCAGCAGACTTTGGCAGCTGGACTGACGACATGACAACAGTGCCTGTATAGTTTGGAGAGTGGCCTGGGAAGACACTTGTGTTGGTGATCTCCACCAGGTAGAAAGAGGTGATGGCATCCCTCCCTTTGGTGCCTCTTGAGACGTGAGGATGAGTTGGCGCTGCGTTGCTTTGGCTTTCCTGAGGAGTTTTGCATGTGCTCTTAAATCCTATGTATGTAGTTCCTTTCTGCCTACGGGATCCACACGTTAGAAAGTAGTGCCTATCACGTCTGTTGATTATGTAAGCTTATACTTAAGAATTTGAAAAAGCAGTGCCCAAGCCTTGTCTAAAGAGGTCACACCTCACAGAAGAAATGCAGCCACGTCTACGGGGAAGTAGGGCACCTCTATAGTCATTTAGGTCACCGAGTGTCGTTGGACAATGCCAAGCAGGATGTTTGGGGACAAGAGCCCATCTGTTGTGGGACACCAAGTGCATAAACCATTTCTTAAGAAAAGAGTCTTGGAGTTGTGGCCGTAGAGCCCTCAGCCCATGGAAGCCCCTTCTGAAGCACCTTAGAGGATGCCAGGTTGTTGTACTTTGGGGAGGAAGATTCCAGAACCAGCTTACTCTTACCTTGGCTGTTTTCCAAACAAGCTCTTGCCTGGAGTCTTTGAGGTGCGCCAAGGGAGAGTCCTGGCAAAGGAGTACTGTTGGTGTGCCTGCCTGCCCGCCCACTGATAAAAAGTCGGCCCAGCCGAGCGCGGTGGCTCACCCCTGTAATTCCAACACTTTGGGAGGCGGAGGTGAGAGGATTGCCTGAGCCCATGGGTGCGAGACCAGCCTGGGCAACATGGCAAGACCTCGTCTCTACAGTAAATCAAAAAATTAGGCAGGCATGGTAGCACACGCCTATAGTTCCAGTTACTTCGAAGGCTGAAGAGGAAGGATCGCCAGAGCCCGGCAGGTCAGGTGGCTGTGAGCGTGCCACTGCACTCCAGCCTGGGCCACAGAGTGAGACTCCTACTCCAAAAACAAAAAAAGCCAGCCCTCAGTGTCTCTGCCACCCCACACCTGCACTCACTAGGCGAGAAAGCACTGTCCTCGGCAAGTTAAACAGAAGAAACTGCAGGATGCCAGAAGGATCGGAGCGAGCCGCAGAAGCCTCTGGCCCAGGACCCCCGGTTTCTACCCCTGATGTCCCAGGCCCGCCTCCCCCACCTGTCCTCAAACACAGGAACAATGCTGATGGCCCTGCCCCTTCGGTGTTGCTCAGGCACTGTTGGTCCCTTGGGTCTAAGGAGTCCCAAGAGTTGACCCTGTTTCTTGGTCGCCAAGAAGGCTTTTCCTCACTCGAGGCTCGGTGCAGGGCCACCCCATCATTCTGAAAACTTCCCACATCTCTAAACTCCTCGCAGAGTCAGACAGCACCAGGCCCACTCTCATTTTCCCCTCTGTCCACTGCGGAGGGCCTGCTTTCCCCGCCGTCCTCGAGGCAAGAGCTGCCGAAGCCTCCCCCAGCCCTCCGACCCCTGCCCCACCCGCCCCTGCCCTGCGGCGCAGACTTCATTCACATTGAAGGAAAATTGTCTTTTTTGCTCCCAGTCCTCTGCAGAGCAAAAAGACTTGTCGGATTCGGGAGAGGAGCCTCGGGGGGAGGCTGAGGCCCCCCACCATGGCACGGGTCACCCCGAGTCAGCTGGTGAGCATGCCCTAGAACCTTCTGCCCCCGCTAGCGCCTCAGCCAGCACTCCTCCGCCTCCCGCTCCTGAAGCCCAGCTTCCTCCTTTTCCGCAAGAACTGGCAGGGGTAAGTCCGCATCCACCCGGCGCTCCTACCGCCCAGGGGGCCCCAAACTGACCAGCCCCTTCCCTTCGGGTCCTTCTGATCCAGGCCCTAGATCATCGGAAGCAGCTGATGGAAACTTAAAAGACAACAAGGGTTTCTTCCAACCCCCTTTAATTTGGCTGCTGAAGATTCAGGAAAAATCGAGCCTCCTTTTACATTCAGGCTTTTTTAATGGGGGGAATATAAACTCGTAGCAAGAGGCGAGTCCTGTTTCCTGCACGAGACACGAGGAGTCGAAAGAGGAGTGGAATGGTGAGGGAGGCCCTTCCCAGTCCGATTTGGCCCCTTCTGCTCCCTCTATTTGTCATTCCCCTGACTTTGAGCATTCGAGTTCACTGTCTTAGAAACCCGAGACGCTAAGGCTTCCTTTGATATCCAGTAAGAGGAGTTGGCTAACACAGATTGCTTTGCAAGACTGATTGTGTTATGGACTGTGGTTAGGCGGTGAATTGCTTGTCTTCAATCAAAGCAGGAAGAAGAAAAGACTTCCTTTGAACCCAGAGGGAATCCCTTGAGCTCTTTATCTTTGTATTAAGAAGGCTTTTGAAGATTATAGGTGAAGAAGATTGTGAACTCTCAAGAACAAGAAATGTCTTGGGTTTTTGAAGTTTGATAAATCAGGAAAGGTAAACTTCGTCCTCCACTCAAGATCGAAAATGCCATCTTCTAGGTGTCTAATGGCAGAAGACCCCTATTCTCAGGACAGGGAGAAAGGACTCCTGGCAAGAAAACAAAAGGCCCAGCTCCACCTGCCTGAATACCAGGTGGGCTTCCGGGTGGCACAATCCTATACCTCACCCCAGATCTCAGCGATTCCTGTCACTCACCAGTCCCCTATTTTTAAGGAGACACCGTTAAAATCCAGTGCTCAGCCAAGGGTGGGTTGGAGCCCTGTTGTAACATTTTGGAGAAATCCTTGTGTGATGGAAAAAGAAGAAACAGTCTTTTTACCATGTGCCAGAGGCCCTGAGGGAAGAAAGGGCAGTCCTCCACAGCACAGAATGGGTTTGGGATAGCAAGACATGCTTGGAAGCCACAGGCAGGATTCCAGCCAGGAGGCCCTCGCCTCACAGTGCACCAGGAGTGCAGCCCTCATGCGAGAGTGTGTGGCAGCCACTGGGGCAAGAACCGAGAGGTCGCCACAGCTTTTTATTTTTTGGCAAAGCAGCTCCTGGAAACTTTTCTTGAGTTGGGTGTTGTGAGTTACTGTGCCTTTGGCCTTCGAGAGCACAGGAAATGGTGTTCTCAGTTCTCTGGCTCTGGCCCTGTGAGAACAGATGATCTTCATCTGGGTTCACCCCAGAGGCCTTCGCTGGTGCCCGAGTTTGAGAAGTGTGTGGCCTGCGGAGGCGGCAGGTTTGAGAATGAGAGTAGCAAACAGGCAGATCGCAGCCTTTTGTGACAGCAGCTACCCCTCAAGAACACGTGGATGTTCTGTGCCCCATGAATTTCCCATAAGACCCTGCAGGAATGTCCTGAGGGGCCTCACCTCATCCAGATGTTGGTCTCTGAGGCCTGGCCAGCCCAGGCGGTAGCCCTCATCTGTTTAAGAAACTCAGCTTCTTAAACCTTACGAACTTAGGCTTAGGGGGCTCAAATCCTGAGAAATTCCAGGGGTCCCCAAACTGGCAAATGAAAGGTGATGTGTCTAGAGGTGGACTATTGTGTCACCATGGGAGGGGGCCAGGACTGGGGCTTAGAGCAGCCATTGATGATGCACCAGTGTAGCACTGAAGGCCATGAAGGTAGCATACACACTGTACGCTTTAATGTGTATTCGTGACTTATGATCTCCAGTCTCGGTGACAGCTCTGAGCTAGCCAGAGGTCGCTCCCTTGGGCTCTCCCCAGAGAAACCCTGACTGGTGCTAGTGGCTCCAGTTTATCGGCTTTCTCTATTGATTTGGCCTGCTCAAAGCCCAGTTAACTTTGTTTTAGGTCAGTTAGGCCATAAATCAAGTCAGATGGAACCCGATCTCAGTCGCTCCTTGGTCTGAGATTTTTCTATGGTGAACTCAAACTATTTTCTTTAGCATCAGAACACATTTGGATCTGGCTCTGTAACCCATTGTTGTTCAGGAAACCGCTGCCCGCAGGTCTCATCCATCATGTCTGTCCTGTTCTCTTTACCCCACGATCCCTGGGGGGAATGTAAAGCTGAGAGTTCGTGGTGATAAATAGTGGCTCGCGGAATTGTTGCTTATAAAGGACCCTTATCATCTTTCAGTCTCATCAGAACTCTGGCCATGGAAGACTCAGTACCAGGAAAAAGTCTATATATCAGACTTCCTGGCTCTGGGAAGGACAGCCTGAAGAAGACCAAACCACATCCAGATTAAGTTCTCTCTGCGCTTACTCCGAGCCTAGTGGAATCATACTGGATGAAACTCCATGCCAAGGCCCTCCTGAGCTTCAGATATGTTTGTTTATTAGACCCACCAGGAAGCTTAGGAGAATTCTGGAATGAGCCCCTCTGGCTAGATAGCTTCCCCTCATCTTCCAGCCCCTTGCTACCCCTCAGCATTCACACCTTTGGAGGCCACCTCTCTTTTGCTTTTTTTAGTATCTTTTTTTTTTCGGTTGTGATCTCACTCTGTCACCCAGGTTGGAGTGCAGTGGCACAATAACAGCTCACTGCGGCCTCAACTTCCTGGGCTCAGGCAATTCTCCCACCTCAGCCTCCTGAGTAGCTGGGGCTACAGGTGCATGCCACCATCCCCAGCTAATTTTTTTGATTTTCTTGTAGAGACAAGGTCTCATTTTGAGCCCAAGATGGTCTTGAACTTCTGGGCTCGAGCTAGTCTCCCTCCTTATCCTCCCAAAGTGCTAGGATGGACAAACATGAGCCACCACACTCAGCTAGTGTCTGCCTTTTTGACAAGAATTTCTGAACTGATTGCCTTAGTCACATGTTGCATTGGCCCATAATTTATGAGGAGAGAGCCAAAAAGAAACCCCAGGGCCGGGCGCAGTGGCTCAAGCCTATAATCCCAGCACTTTGGGAGGCTGAGGCGAGAGGATTGCCTGAGTCCAGGAGTTCAAGACTAGCCTGGGCAACTTGATGCGGCCTCGTCTTTATAATAAATCAAAAAATGAGCTGGGTGTGATGGCACATGCCTATAGCTCCAGCTACGTAGAAGACTAAGGTGGAAGGATCGCCCGAGCCCAGCAGGTTGAGGCTGTGGTGGCTGTGAGTGTGCCACTGCACTCCAACCTGGGCACCAGAGTGAGACTCCAACGCAAAAAAGAAACCCCAGAATTTATTAATAAAAAATGGTGTATTTGTTCTTACATGTTTACACTTCAGTCACCTTCAAAGTATCCTTGTTTGTTGCAATACACCCATCAAGATGCTTTTTTCACTGCTCAAAACAGTTTTTGAATGTGTCCACTTTGATGCCTTTTAGTGCTTCTACTGTTTTTTGTTTCCCCTCTTCCACATCAACAAGATGTTTCCTTTTGAGGACTTTTTTCATCAGGGGAAACCAAAAAAAGTCACAGAGTGGAGGGCAGGGGGTGTGGAGATAGGTGAACAGGGAGGGCAGGGCATGGGGTCATGCCACCTTTGGTCAAAAACTGCTGAACGTTCAGCACAGCATGGGCCAAGTGTATTGTCATGATAGAAGAACCAGTCACCTATTTGCCCCAACCCAGGACATTTTTTTCCACAAATTATGACACAATATGTTCTCACAATTTCTAGATAAAAGCTTTGATTGACCATTTGATCCGGAGGAACAAATTCTGAGTGTGTTACAAGCGGCCTACCCTCCAAAAAATAATTCTGGTTTTTGGGGTCCTCCCTGGTATTCTCCATCCCAGGCATCCATTTTTCTACAGCACAACCGGCCAGGCTTTCTAATGTGTTGGTTCAGATGGGGACTCACTGAGGCTCTGTCAGGCCAAATGGTTGCCACTGTTTTCTAGAAAGAATTTATCTGATATGGCCTTCCTTTCTGGTCTGTTGGGAAGGATGCATTGATAGTACTATTCGTTCCTGCTTTCTGCCTGTTTGGCCTTGTGTCTGTAGAGTCGGCTTTGAAAGAAAGACTCCAGCTCCACCCACTTCCTGCCAGCACCTCTATCCTCCTGGAGGCTGCCTAAGGCAGCCTCACAAGAGTCATAGTTTTTGGACAGGGCGATTCTTAAGAACTGCAACAGTTGTGATTTTCACTGTTTCATCCTTTATTCTAAGAACATACATTTCCCAGTCTGGGTTGGCTATGACCCTCTGTCTTGCTGTTGGCGACAGGAACCCATGTGCCTCAGAATTGAGCTGCTTCCCCCAAGGTCCTGGGGAGTTCTGGGAGAGCTCCCTGGCTGCCTGCTTTCACCCAGCCTGCAGGGCTGGGTGCCGTTCAGACCGCTCCTCCCACCCAGGCCTCAGCCAGACCCCTGCAGGGCTTGTCGTCTTTTCAGAGCCTGCTTCATTTGTTCATACTGTCTTCGTGGCAGAGCGAGGTTGAAGTGTTGTCTTGGTCTTCTGTCTCTTCAGCTTCCTTGTTATTAATGTGAGGTATTTTCATCATGGCGTCCCGAATGGTTGCTGCCCAGCGCTCCCTGGGTATTGTCCTGAAGTCCTGACCCTGGCAGTGGTAGAGTCTACTTTGAGGAAAAGAGGATGAGGAGGAAATGGGGCTCCTGCTTCCTGGTTCTGTGCCTGCTCGTCCTCCAGAAGCACGTCCTGGGAGCTTGTTCTCAAAATTCTGCTCACACAGGTCACCGTTGCGGTGACGCCTGAGCTTTGGGCCGCAGACCTCTGGGACAAGAGGTAGCTCCTCGGTTGGGACAAGAGGTGGCCCCCACAGTGCCTTAGCACCAAGCAGGTCTAGACCACTGGGCTGCTGCGTCTCAAGGGAGTGGAAATGTCTGTGGAGCTGGTGTTGGCCTTGTTGGGGCCAGTGACTTAAAGAGAATTTCTGAGCCGCACACCTTTCCCTGCTTTGGGGAAGGTGGCACAAG